TCAGGATGTTGCCAAAGGCAGGCAAAGACATTCAATTCAGTCTGAGTTTAAGGAAAGTATGCAAAAGGTGAATTTGGATAGGAATTAATCAAGAGATGAAGGTATATAAACAGAAAACAAGAATATGTAAAAAACTAGGGACAGGATAAGACACCACTTGGAAGAATGATAACTAAAATTGTAGCAAAGGAAGAGGAAATGGAGTTTCCAAGTCTCTGAAGAGGGATCAGTTATTAAAGCTTAGTAGCTGAAAGCAAGGAGTTTTGAACCAGAAAGATCTGGTTTAAATCCAGATTTAGTCACTCTCTGTGACTCAATAAATTAAAAATTTTGTTTACACTCAATTTACTTATCTATAGAGTGGGGACAATAATAGCTCTCTTGTAAGGTTATTATAAAGATTAAATGAGGCAAAATAAGCAATTCATGTATAGTTCTTAATGCAGTGCAGTGAGCTTTCTTATTGGGCACATTTTACACCAAAATGCTTCCCAGAAAGGATTTTCATTGCAAGTTTTTCTATTTTAATGCCCATATGGTGCTGATAATCTAACTGTATCTTTTTTAAAAAGCATTTCTTTGCCCTTCCCCTTCCTTTTGTTGCTAAGATGATGGGTGGGTGGGGACACATTGTTGTGGAATGCCCCCATGCAGTATAATTGGGGTACTTCATAAGGGTCACATGCTTTAGTTGTGGTTTCAGTACAGTTGACTGTAGTGTAATTATTTTCATAAGGGAAACATTAAAATAGCATAGCAAGATATTCAAGTGAAAATAAGCATCCTTTTAAAACTCAGGTATATATTCTAGAATTTGTTCTTCCCAGAGATCTACTAATTTTTCTCAAGCCCTACTAATTTTTAATGCACTCTTTAGAGATATTTAAATGCATATTTAAAACAGAAAAAAATGAGAAATAATAAGAATGCTCATTAGTATAGAAATATTGTGAAATAGCATTTTAAAATTTTGTTTGGGGGGAAATTCACACCCTGTGGTGTTCAGTGGTTACTTCTGGCTCTGCACTCAGAAATAACTCCCGATGGGCTTGGCAGACCATATGGGGTGCGGCGGGCAATTGAGCTTGGATTGGCAAGTCAGTCTACCTCCTGTACTATTGCTCTGGCCCTAAAATAATATTCATTGTGTACAATACAACAATTTTATAAAGCAGATTGTAAAATTATATGTTCATCGTGATGCCTTCCTTCTAAGTTCATACGTAATAATGTTACTAGAAATGCATGTATATACTATACAAATACTTACATAATTTTGTGTTTATAATCAGTATCTAACAATTAAACCTTTTTTGGGGGGGAGGGCAGAGGCACTGGGCCACACCTACTGGTGCTGGAAGCTTACTCCTGACTCTGAGCTAAGGGATCATGCCTGGAGATACTCAGGTAATTATATGTGGTGCCAGGGATCAAACCCAGGTCATCAGTTTGCAAGGCAAGCATCCTACCAGCTGTACTTTATTTCCAGACCTCAGATTTAAGTAACTTTTACTGTGATATTTTCACAATTTAATTGGATATATGTCTCAACGATACAACAATGTGTTTAATAAATTTTCTAATCTGCTAAACTGAGGGAGCTATCCCTGAAAGTTAACTCATCGTGAAAGGACAGCTGAATAATCTGTGTCAAATACCATGGCCTTAGACACTATAACGCATCTTTGAATTGCTATAACTATCATTCACAGAGTTCCCATGAACACTGTAATTTTATTGAATTGTAGTTCACTGGTAGGCAAGAGGTGAATGCTTTAAGTGTGATGAGACATAACATTTCCTTAGATACCTGTGATTGCAAAGTTCGCCCCTGATTTATTCATAGCTATTTAGTTTACACACTAAATATACATATTAATTGTAGGATCCATTTGAATTTCAGAAATGCTAAAATGTGAAAAAGGTGTTAAAGTCAAGTATATATAATATTTGAGTGACATTTTTGTCCGCTTTGTTAGGAAGAGATGATAAAAATAACTTTTATGCTATGGAATCTAAAATGGATTTTCCATTTAGTGAGATTATTATTTGCCAATGGGGTTTTATTTTTGTTTTAGTTTTTTGAGTCACAGCTGTCAGTGCTCAGTTCTTACCTGAGCCAGACTATTCCTGACTCTCTGCTCAGGAATCACTCCTGGTGGGTTGGTGAGTGGGGGGGCATATGGAATGCTGAGGATCAAATCCTGTTTGGCCACGGGTGCAAGGTGCCTTGCCCACCATACAATGACTCTGGCCCCTATTGTTTGCCAGTGGTACATTCTTAAGTTATTTTAAAATAACCCTCTAAATGAAAAGGGTCTTATTCTTCTTTTATAACAGTTTTATAACTTTTATAACAGTTTTATTAGTGTCAATTTCTTTAATACTTTTTAAACATAAAATCCTATATGTATTTTTATAACATAAAATCCTATATGTACCAGGTTTTTTTTTTTTTTGGTTTGTTTTGCCTAATTTTCATTTTTTTTGTGTGTGTGTTTGTGGGATTTGTGGTTTCAGGTGGATAGTAGACGAAGAGAACTCACACTTTTTATTCTAAGAATTGGGCATCTTCACTGGATAGGCCTCTGTATATTATCTACACTTTTTGGATTAGATATTTCAGAAATTAAAGATCATGAGATTCTAGAAATCAAATAATCTGATACATATGTCATAATAACATGATACACAGAAATTCTGGGATGTATAATTTATCAAAATAGAAGAACATCTCACTAGTTGAGCATATTCACATAGCAAATTATATTTAACATTTCACTAGTTGAGTATATTCACATAGTCACTGTCACTATCACTGTCACTCCTGTTGTTCCTCGATTTGCTCGAGAGGGCTCAGTAACGTCTCCATTGTGACACTTGTTACTGAGTTTGACATATCGAATATGTCATGGGTAGCTTGCCAGTCTTTGCCATGCGGGCAAGATACTCTCGGTAGTTTGCCGGGCTCTCCGAGAGGGGCGGAGGAATCCAACGTGGGTTGGCCCAGTTGGCCACGTGCAAGGCAAATGACCTACCCGCTAGGCTAGGCTATCGCTCCAGCCCATTCACATAGTAAATTTTATTTATTTAATAAAGAACATATCAGTCCTGTGAACATTTAAGGTAGGTATAACTGACAAATGACTAACACAAAACTTAAAACTATATTTGATTGCATAACAGATATGGGCCTACATGAACATATTACACATTTACTTGTGAGTTTATCTACACATATACACATATACTTATATGCAGTTTTTGTTTTGATACCAAGATGTTATAATTTATAGCTTTGTTATTAAATAAATAATTCAATTTTATGCCCAACATCTTTTAGATGTTTTGCTTGGCTGAAGGACAAAAAAGAATGGCATTTTTCTTTCCTATCAAGGTGCAGTGTGGGGACCTCTGTAATTTAAAAACGTTATTTTTTCTTTTTCAAAGCAGTTCCATAGAATCATAAGGATTGGAAACAAGCATTAAGAACATCCCCAAAGCAAAGTCATAATAAAAATGGAGTCCCAGTTCCACCATTAGTTTAAATGTTGGCAGGGGCTCATGTTGACAGGGACTCTGGAATCCAAAATTGGATTGAAGTGTATCCCAAAGCTGGTTGATGGTTAACTTTGGAGAAGAGGAGAAGAATAGTAATTTTGGACTATGAAAGAGGTCTTTATTTGCTAATATTTTATTTCTTGATTTTTTGTGTTTTTTACCTGATTATGTTCACTTTGTGATAATTAATCATGTTGTGTTATTAACTAACTTTCTAACTAATATTTAAATAACATTTTCATTAGCAAGCATTCTGTCTGCTGTACTATTTATCCATTCCCTAATACTAAAGATTTTTTAAACAATAAACATAAAATTTAGCATTACCATGAACATTTAGTGATCATCAACAATGCAACTTATCTAGACATTAATTAGTAAATGTTGCTGAGAGGTCAATATATGCATGAAATAAACCTTTTTTGACTAGTGTATTTTTCCAGCAACTTCTGGAGTTCAGAGGTGTGGCTCATCTATACTTACAAATGGTTTTTGTGCAATAAGAGAAAAATATATAAAATGACTTAGTACTCTTCTTAAATGAATATTTAAAAATAACAGAAGAAAAGTTCCATGCATCAGAGCTGTTTACATTGAGGGCTGGTGTTTTATGAAAAATAGCTTTTGCTTTATGAGCAGAGGGGAGTTGTTTGGTAATTTCAAATGGAAGTGAGCAGCTCCTGCAGTGGTGGAGGGTGCAAAACAAAAAGAGAAGTAAAGGAATAACTGATACGGGACCACTTCAATAGTTATTATCTCATAATGACAAAAAACTTAATATAGCAGTCATGAATCACAACCATCCTGTTATTCGTCGATTGCCTCGAGCAGGCCCCAGTAATGTCTCCTTCATCCTAGCCCTGAGATTATATTCAAGGCTCTTTAGGAGAATGGGACCCAACATTGTTACTGGTATTTGGCATATTTGGGTACACTACGGGGAGTTTGCCAGACTCTGCAAACAGGTTACATTCGGTAGCCTGCCAGTTTGTCCAAAGTAGGAATGAGATAATAAGATGTCATAATAAGATGTTGTGCAGCCGCGAATGCGGCCGTGTGGTTCCAGGAGCTGTTTTTTATAGTCTCTTGAGTCTTGGCCATTGATGGGATTACATGGAGCCAGGGGGCCAGTTGGTGGGTGTGACCCCCGCCTACTGGAATTTGGAGGATCTGGGTGGAGGATGCTCGACCCCAATCCGAGTAGGCTTGGTGATCTCGGCCCCGGAACCCGCGTGGTTTTGTCCCTCTGCCAGTACCTTCATGTGTGCGGAGAGTGGTCTCAGCATGGTGGTGGCTGGTCCTGGATATATAGCAGGTTTGATGTAAAAGAAAATTGATGTTAGGAATCTCGAAGTGGTAAATTCCATAGATTCAGTGATAGTGCTGAATTGTGTGATCGAGTGAACATTATTCCTGATGATGCTCGGTGCTCCACTCACTGGGGATAGCGCTGGCAGAGAGCTGCAACTGCCAGCACCTTCAGGAACTGTCTTGATTCCAGAGAGGAGACCTCATCTGCATCCTGTGACAGATGAGGAGCAGATCAGATTTATGTTCGTGAGACCTGCTTATTTACATACTTCCCTTAACTCAGAATAATTCTCATTTGTGTTTTATTTAAAGACCTGTCTTGGAAATTCATTCTTTTCTTTCTTTCTTTTTTATTATGGTGCCGTTACTAAGTCACATCTGCAAGGCAGATGTTCTACTGCTGAGCTATACTCCCAGATGATTTGCTTTTAGACAAAGAATTTTACTTTTTTTATTTTGCAAATCACTTAGCTGTAATGATGGTGGAATATCATTGCTTTGTCAACTAGTCCTATCTCAAGACAATTCATGAAAGTCCTGGATCATTCACAGCAATTGAGACAATCATCAGGGTTGCATTAAATTATTTTTTCACTTTGTCACCTGCTTATCTCTACTTGATCCCCCTTTCTCCTATAGATGTTGTCCCAAAGGTACTTCTTAAATAAGCTGCCTGCACACTAACCTCCATTTCAGAGTTTTTTTTTTTCTTGGAGGTCTGGACCTGCAGCTGTGATATTTTAGATGTGAGAGTTGAGTGTGAGAGAGAAGTAAAGATCAATTCTGAGATTGTTTACCTAGACTTAGTGGGTTATGATGTCAGTCAGATAAGGAGGCAAAAAAGAGGCGAAGCAATTTGGGGAGCAAAACTACATGAACGAGACTTGTAACAGCATTAAGATTTTTCAGCTTTGCACATTTATTTTTGATGTAATAGAAAGGAAGCTATAACCACTTGTGGGATATTACCCTGAAGTTTGCAGAGAGGTTTTAGCTGGGTTCATGAACTGAATCCATAGAATGAATATTGTATTTCAGCAAAGATATATGAAGAAAAGTTTCAGAAGAGGAAATCCAACAGCTTAAAGGAGCAAAAATGAAAATGATCTACCTCATCAAGCAAAAACCATAAATAATATAAAACACAAAAATTCTAACAAGAGGGTGGAGAAAGAACATTCTTTTATGTATGTGTGTATGTATGTATGTATGTATTTAATTAATGAATCACCGTGAGGTATAGATACATACTTACAAACTTTCGTACTTGCGTTTCAGTCATAGTACCTATCCCTCCATCAGTGCCCATTCTCTACCATCAATGATCCCAGTATCCCTCCCACCACAACCACCCCATCCCCCCCTCTCCACCCTACATCTGTGGCAGGGCATTCCCTTTTGTTCTCTCTTTCCTTTTGGGTGTTGTAGTTTTCAATAAAGGCATTGAGTGGCCATTGTGTTCGATTTATAGTCTACATTCAGCACGCCTCTTCCAACCTGAGCAAGTCTTCCAACACCCTTTACTTGGTGGTGTCTTCCCTATCTGAGCTTCCTTTTTCCTCAGCATGTGAGGCCAGCTTCCAAGCCCCGGAGTAAACCTCCTGGTCCTTTTCTCTACTATTCTTGGTTGTTAGTCTCCCATTAGTGTTACTTTATATTCCACAGTTGAGTGCAATCTTTCTATGCCTGTACCTCTCTTTGACTCATTTCACTTAACATGATACTTCCCATCTTGATTCACCTATATACAAATTTCATGACTTCATCTTTTTCTAACAGCTGTACTGTAGTATTCCATTATGTAGATGTACCAGAGTTTGTTTTTTTTCCACTTTCTATATTAAACCATCTAACATACCTAATAAATATTCAGCTTGAAAAAAGTAGCTTTATTATAATTTAGGACTTATGCACTGTTTTATGAGGGGTTCATTTATAATTTTCTTTTTTCTTTTTATTAGTGAAACACCATGAGGTACAGTTGTAGACTTACAAATTTTTGTGCTTGGGTTTCAACTGTACAATGATCAAATACCCATCCCTCCACCAGTGCCCATTTCCCACCAACATGGGTCCCAGTATCCCTCCCACCCCCATCCCCCCACCCCTCCCTGCCTCTGTGGCAGGGCATTCCCTTTTGTTCTCTCTCTTCTTTTGGGGGTTGTGGTTTGCAAAAGAGGCATTGAGTGGCAATCATGTTCAGTTTTTGTCTTTCAGCATGCTTCTCCCATCCTGGGAGGATCCTCCCAACACCCTTTATTTGGTGCTCCCTTCTCTATTTGAGGTGCCTTTTCCCCTAGCATGTGTGGCTGGCTTCCAAGCTATGGAGTAAACCTCCATACCAGAGTTTCTTTAACAAGTCATCTGAAGAACATTCTTTTTTTTTCTTAAATTTTTATTAGTGAAACACCATGATGTACAGTTGTAGACTTACAAATTTTTGTGCTTGGGTTTCAGTTATACTGAAACTACTGTCTTCCTGTTGTTCATCAATTTTCTTAAGCGGGCCCAGTAACGTCTCCATTGTGAGACTTTGTTGTTACTGTGTTTGGCATATCGAATACGTCATGGGCAGCTTGCCAGGCTCTGCCGTGCGGGCGAGATACTCTCGGTAACTTGCCGGGCTCTCCTAGAGGGGCGGAGGAATTGAACTCGGGTCGACCATGTTGGCTGCGTGCAAGACAAACGCCTTACCGCTGTGCTATCGCTCTAGCCCTTTTAGTTATACAATGATCAAATACCTATCCCTCCACCAGTTCCCATTCTCCACCACCACCAGTCCCAGTATCCCTCCCTCCCCCCATTCCCCCATCTCACCCTACCTCTGTGGCAAGGTATTCCCTTTTATTATCTTTCTCATTTTGAGTGCTGTGGTTTGCAAAAGAGACATTGAGTGGCAATCTTGTTCAGTCTATAGTCTACTCTCATCACGCATTTCCCATCCTGAGAGGAACCTTCCATCACCCTTTATTTGGTGCTCCCTTCTCTATCTGAGCTGCCCTTTCCCCTAGCGTGTGTGGCTGTCCTCAAAGCAATGGAGTAATCCTCCTGGTACTTATCTCGGCCATTCTTGGGTGTGAGTCTCCTATTTTGTTACTTTATGTTCCCCAGATGAATGCTATCTTCTATGTCTGTCCCTTTCTTTATGACTCATTTCGCTTAGCATGTTACTTTCCATGTAGTACCACTTGTATATGAATTTCAAGAACATTCTGAAAGAGAGGAGAACCAAGAGAGAATGTGTGTGGATGGAAATCTGATAAGAATAATTTCTTTTTGTTATTTTTGACCACACCAGGTGGTGCTGTGATGGGGTATTTCCTAATAGTGTGTGGGAAAACTTATGGTTCTGCAGATCAAACCCAGTGTTTTCAGCCCCAGTAACTCTCTCCTTCACTTGAAGGTGAGAGTATTTATCGTTATTCATTTGTAAATAGCAATTTTATTGAGATACAATTCACATATTATTAATCGCACCCTTTTAAAGTGTAATATTTGGAAATTTAATGTACTCATTAATTGTTGATCATCAATATTTTATTAAAAAGTTTCAACCCCAAAGAAACTAAATATTCAATAGTAATCATTCCTCTTAGCCCCTGGAAATCTACTTTCTATCTCTATAGGCATTTTCAATAAAGAGGATGTAAGCATTCTCCACTTTTCAAAAGTTTCTTGTGCCACCATTTTTTAAAAGAAAATTACCATGAATTGCAGAGTTACAAAGTTTTCATCATTAAGTTTCAGGCAAACAGTATTCTAACACCACTTCCTTCATCAGTGTTCCAGTTCCCTCCACCAATGCTCCCAGTTTCCCTCCCGCCCCACTAGCATCCTCTATGGTAGACATTTTTGACCTCCATCATTGTCCTAGTGTTCTTTTACTTGACCTGTTTCCTGAACCCAGAACTCACTGATGAGCTTCCTACTGAAGACCAATTCTCCTGCTCTTCATTTTTATTGCCTTTGCGTATTTTTTTATTCATCTACTATGCTTCTTTATGTCCTGTATATAACACAGATAATTCTCTGCCTGTCCCTCTCCCTTTAAGTTTACTCGCATGATGTTCTCCAGATACATCCATGTAGCAGCAAGTTACACGATTCATCTTTTCTTATGACTGAATAGTATTCTGTTACATATAAGTATCATAGTTTCTTTATCTAGTTACCTGATCTTTGACAATTGAATTGTTTTCCAGGTTTTGGTTATTGTGAATAATGCTGCAATGAACATAAGAAGGCAGATGTCTCTGTATTGATTTTGGGCCCTTGGGATATATTCTTAGAAGTGGAGTTGCTGGTTCATTTGTCATTTTAGGACTGACCATATATATTTTTTTAAAAAAGTCTGGGCCAATCAACATTCCCACCAGCAGTGAATGAGGGTCTCTTTCTCCACACAGTCATGCCAATAATAGTTGTTGTTATTCTTTTTTTGATGAGTGCCAGTCTCTGTGGTGTGAGGGAATATCTCATTGTTGTTTTGATTTATATTTTTCTGATTAGTGATATGGAGCATTTTGTTAAATGCCTTTTGACCATTTTTATTTCTTCTTTGGTACAGTTTCTGTTCACTCCTCCCCCCCTGTTTTTTTTCTTGTAAAGTTCTACCAAAAAAAAATTCTTGCAGTCTGTGGAATGTATTACGATTATTGTTTTCTTCGAGGTGCAGAAGATTTTTAATTTAGTGTATCCTCTTTGTTTATCTTCATTTCCACTTTATTGGTTAGTGGCGTTTCATCCTTAAAGATGCCTCTAGTTTTAATGTCATGACTTCTGCCTATATATATAATTTTTTTCTCTATATGCTTTCAGATCTGATATTGATTTTTTCTTTATTTTTATTTAATTTTTTGCTTTTAGGTCACACCCGGTGATGCACAGGGGTTACTCCTGGCTCTGCACTCAGAAATTAATTCTGGCGGTGCTTGGGGCACCATATAGGATGCTGGGAATCGAACCCGCACCGTCTGCATGCAAGTCAAATGCCCTACCCACTGTGCTATCGCTCCAGCCCCTGATATTAATATTTTAAGCCACTCATTTTTACTAAAGATTTCTAATTAGTATTTGTTTTCAGTAGCACTGTAGTACTGTCTTCCCGTTGTTCATCGATTTGCTCGAGCGGGCCCAGTAAGGTCTCCATTGTGAGACTTGTTGTTACTGTGTTTGGCATATTGAGTATGTCATGGGTAGCTTGCCAGGCTTTGCTGCACGGGAGAAATACTCTTGGTAGCTTGCTGGGCTCTCCGAGAGGGGCAGAGGAATTGAACCTGGCTTGGCTGGGCCAGCCACGTGCAAGGCAAACGCCCTACCGTTGTTTTCAGTAACTTAAAGAAATTCAAGAAGGGTTTTTACTTTTACAACAAAAGGCAAAAGGTGAATGTTTGATTTATAGAAGACCTTCTAAAGACTTTATAAAGGCATATACCTCAAGAAGCAAGAGTAACACATCCAGGTTTTTATCCTCATAGCTACTTATGCAAACTTTATGTACTTTATTTATAAAGTACATGAAACTTACTGATTTTTGAAGTTTTTCTTTCCTTTTGTGTCTATGGTTGTTCCATTAATGCGAAGACCACACTTGGTTGTAATATTTGCACATTTACTTGTAGTACTCATCCAGTTTTGCACTTTAGTTGTAGTAGTTTTACCTATGCTTAACAGAGGTCATGCTCACTTAGTCATGATGTGCACACATCCTCTAGTTGTAGGCATTTTTCTAAATCCTGTGTTATTCAAACACATACACATACTCACCAGAGGCTATACTTCTGGCCATGTTCATATAACACAACCCCTTTTCTTAAGGCACATGATTGATAATACTTTTGATAGTTTCATGCACACATCCTGCTAGCTGTGGTGCTTTCTGGAAGTCATACTCCTTGATTGTGGTTACTAGCACATCTCAGACTCGATACCAGAGATTGCATATGTTGTGGCACTGGGTGTCCCAGAGAGTAGTTCTGCAGAACCATGCTTACTGCGTATGGGCAGGGCTGGGACTTGAACTCTTGTCCTAAATCTAGCAAAGCAAATGCTTTTTCATTCTCTGGAGTCCCAGGCTGTGGGGTTATCCTATCAAACTGTGTATAAAGTACATGAAGCTTATTGATTTTTGTTTTTCACTTTTCTTTTCTTGTGTGTCTATGGTTGTAGCGTTAGTGTTGGAGGTCACACAAACTTGGTTGTAATATTTGTGTTAATGTAGAGGCCATGCACACGTGTGGAGGTCCTATCAAAAATGATTTAGCTTTATGTATAATTTAGTATGGTTTGATAGGTAACTTGGGGGTTCAGAAACACTAAAGACACTTTACTTTTGGATAGTGAGGAAGCCTGTAATATAAAAACTGACTTTTGGTTCTTTTGTTACAGTTTTCTTTGCTCTGATACAATATTTTCAAAATTCATCCATGTTGTGTCTTGTGTTTAATTTCATTGTTTCTTATGGCTGAAAAAATTATATGATATAACCCATTTTTTTATTTATGCCTGAATGTGCATTAAAAACACATTACTTGGAGGTGACAGCACATCTGGCTGGAGCAATAGCACAGCAGGTAGGGCATTTGCCTTGCATGCAGCCGACCTGGGTTAGATTCCTCTGCCCCTCTCGGAGAGCCCTGCAAGCTACCGAGAGTATCTTGCCCGCATGGCAAAGCCTGGCAAACTACCCATGACATATTTGATATGCCAAAAACAGTAACAACAAGTCTCACAATTTGTTGTGAGACGTTACTGGTGCCCACTCCAGCAAATTGATGAACAACGGGAAAACAGTGCTACAATGCTACAGTGGTACTTGGAGATAGAAAATAGAAACCAGGACAAGTGTACAACAGGTAGGGTGCTTGCCTTGACAAGGCCAACTTGGGATCTATCCCCTGCACCCGCTATGGCCCCCTGAACACTTATAGGTGTGATTCCTGAGTGCAGAGTCAGGAGTAAAGTAAAGCCAGGTGTGGTTCAAAAATGAAAGAAAGAATAAAAGAAGTACAGAAAAGAAACCAATGACTTGAGAGCATTTCATCATGAAATGTGGTTATAAAAGGATGGCAAGAATTTGGGGTGGAAGATAATGTGGGGTCTTCATTTTCTAAAGAAAACAAGAATGTATACTTCTCTTGGAGGAGACACACTTAGATTCTAAAATGTCCAATGCAAAACTAAGTGATGATTTTTCTGTTAGTGTTTGAATCATATTTCACCCCCTCTTCCTCTCCCCCCCACTTTTAAATGAGTTAATTCAAACTTTTGCTAATTAGGAATTTCCCACAAATCCTCCAGAAAGAATGCTGCTTTTAAGTCAGGAGAACTAATTTTATGGTGACTAATTAAAATCAGTCAATCAATCAGTCAGAGAACTGATGAGCTCACCCACCTTCCCCATTCATTCTAGGTTCACCCTTTATAAGGAGGCAAATCACTAGGGGGCATACTCATTACATTGTCTTTGAAATAAGCTTGGGGATTGGTGAATTCAGACAGAATAAAGAGTCAAAGGAGGTCAAAGGAGCAGTAGAAACATTTTATGGCTGTGTATTTGCAGTCAGGTCTAGGTCAAGGTCATTGTGTCCTTATGAATCATTCCCTCTCTTTCCTATGGCTATCGCAGTAGGATAGTATTGACAAGCTATTTGGCAGGTCTGGTTACTGAATTCTTTTTTGCTTTCAAAAGCTATTTCATTTAAGCGGCTGGAGAGATAATACAGTAAATAAGGTACATGCCAAGTCTGGTTCGATCCATAGCATCCCTTATGTCTCTACCACCGCCGAGAGTGATTCCTGAGAGTCAGGATTAAGCCCTGAGCACCATTGAGCATAACCCCAAAATCAAAAAGGAAAAAAAAAGTGACTTCACTTAGATCAGACGAGATAATGTTAGATTCTCATCCCTTGTTTTTTTGGACCCTACCTGGCAGTGCTGCAGCGATAGCACAGCGGGAGGGCGTTTGCCTTGCACGCAGCCAACATGGTCGACCCGAGTTCGATTCCTCCGCCCCTCTCGGAGAGCCCGGCAAGCTACCGAGAGTATCTCGCCCGCACGGCAGAGCCTGGCAAGCTACCCGTGACGTATTCGATATGCCAAACACAGTAACAACAAGTCTCATGATGGAGACGTTACTGGGCCCGCTCGAGCAAATGGATGAACAACGGGAGGACAGTGACAGTGACAGTGACCTGGCAGTGCTCAGGGCTTACTCCAGGCTCTGTACTCGTAATCACTCCTGGCAGGACTCAGGAGACCGTAGGTGATATGGGAATGAAACCCAGGCTAGTTACATGAAAGACAGGCACCCTGCCTGCAGTCCTGTCTCTCTGGCTCTATTATTAGCATCTTAATAAAGATCACATATTTATCACGTATTTATGTTGCCTTAGGTAATACAGTTATGTTAACAATATTTAACAACACTTCTTGTTGAGATTAGATCAACAATGTTAAAAAATTAAACAAAGTTGAATCTTTCAATCCTAAGCATGACATCTTTCAACCACATTGCATATTCTGTTTCTTTCAACAGTGTCTTATAATTTGAAGATTATTGCAAATTGAAGCTATGTGACATTTAAGAGATTCAGAAAGAATCTTTTTTTTTCTTTTTTGGTTTGTTATTGGGCAGTGCTCACTCTGGCTCTGCATTTAGGGACCATGACTGGTGAACCTGGTGAATCATATGGTATTTGGATATTGAATTTGGTCAGCTGGATGCAAGGCAAGCACTTTACCTGTGGCCCTATGGCTCCAACGCTTAGTATGTTTCTTTATATCCAGCATGAGTGAGATCATTTTGTGTTTGTGCCTCTACCTCTGACTCATTTCACTCAGCATGATACTCTTCAGATATATTCTAGACGAGTTTTTTTCTATTTATCACTGGTCTTCCATGACATTGGCAACTATCGCCCGATCTGCCTATTGTCTGTCATCTACAAGTTGTTCACTCGAGTCATCCTAAATAGGATTGGCAGAACACTAGATGAAGGACAACCAGGCGAGCAAGCCGGGTTCTGCAAAGGATTCAGCACCATAGACCATATCCACACGATAACCAAGCTCATTGAGGTTTCTCGGGAGTTCAAGATGCCGCTCTGTTTAACGTTCATTGATTTAAAGAAGGCCTTTGATTCTGTTGAGACGGAAGCGGTCATTGAAGCCCTAGCCAATCAGGGCATTCAAGCCCAATACATCAGGATCCTCCGTGAGCTGTATTGCGGATTCACTACCAGGATCTCACCATTCTACAAAGAAGTGATCGTTGATGTCAAGAGAGGGGTGCGGCAGGGTGATACCATTTCACCGAAACTCTTCAGTGCCACCCTCGAGAACATCATGCGATGACTGGAATGGGAAGGAATGGGAGTGAAGATAGATGGTCGGCAACTACACCACCTCCGCTTTGCTGATGACATTGTTTTAATAACACCAAACTTCAGCCAAGCGGCACAAATGCTGGCCGACTTTGACTGTGAGTGTGGAAAGGTATGACTACAGCTGAATCTTACGAAGACAATGTTTATGAGAAACAGCCTCGTTCCTGACGCCCCATTCGCTCTCAACGGACCGACCATCTCTGAATGCAACAGCTATGTGTACCTAGGTCGAGAGGTCAACATGACAAATGACCTGGCACCTGAGCTGCGCAGGAGGAAGAGAGTGGCTTGGAACGCCTTCAAGAACGTCGAAGAAATAGCTAAGAGGATGAAGAACCTCCGGCTCCGGGCACATCTCTTTGATTCCACTGTTCTTCCTGCATTAACATATGCCTCAGAGACCTGGGTCCTACGCAAACAAGATGAGAACGCTATTCAGGTCTCCCAAAGAAGAATAGAAATATGCTTGGAATATCACGTTTCACTCAAATGAGAGAAGGAATCCGGAGTTCTGACATCCTTCGACGATCAAGAATCAGGGACACTGTCTCATTTGCCAAGGTATCGAAAATCAGATGGGCTGGTCACGTAATGAGATTTAAAGACGACCGCTGGACTAGAGCTGTTACTGACTGGATTCCACGGGATGTCAAAAGACCGTGTAGCCGCCCACCTACCAGATGGTCAGACTTCTTCGTCAAGATCATGAACGATCGGTTTGAGGCCTTTCATGTTCCCGGAGCGAACAGATGCCATTGGGCTACACTAGCACGCGACAGGGACAAATGGAGACGTTACTGGCACCTGCTCGAGCAAATCGACGACTAACGGGAAGTTAAGTGATTAAGTGATCACTGGTCAGTTTAGAAGTAACCAGAGTATAATAAAAGAATAAAATATTTTGTTGAGAATATAGAGATTTTGATTTGTACACACCATTAAGGAGGAATTCCATGATGTGTTCCACAACTGGCCACAAAAAGTCTTAAAGAATTAAGCAGAGGAGAGGTTTAATTTAGGAGATTAAAGTGTTTTAGTTTCTTGACAGAATTCTTCAAACTTAATGTTGCAATGTGAGTTCTTTGTGTAATAGTCAGGAAAAACACACCTTCCTGTGTCTTTTTAATCATTGGCAGAAGATAAACCTTGATAAACCTTGGAAGTCATCCATGAGGATGACTTCCAACCTTGATTGTTGATAAACCTTGGAAGTCATCCATGAGGAGAAATCATTGAATCTTATTATTACTGTTATATTATTTAAAAAAATTAAAAAAATATTTTGGGTTGGAGTGATAGCACAGCAGGTAGGGCATTTGCCTTGCATGAGGCCGACCCGGGTTCGATTCCTCTGCACCTCTTGGAGAGCCCAGCAAGCTACCGAGAGTATTCTACCTGCAC